CTCTCTCTCATCTCTCTCTCATCTCTCTCTCATCTCTCTCTCATCTCTCTCATCTCTCCCTCTTCTCTTTCTCATCTCTCTCATATCTCTCTCATATCTCTCTCATCTCTCTCTCCTCTCTCTCTCTCTCTCCTCTCTGTCTCTCGTCTTTCCGTCTCTCTTCTCTCTCTTCTCTCGCAGGAGGATCCGGGCAAAGAACCACATATAAAGGACTCTTCACCCCTGCCTCCAAAAAGAGCGCCGTGTTTTTTCCTACCTCGCTGCCCTCCACTTTCCCATTCTGGAGCGCTAGCTTTCGCCCCCCCCCTTGGCCTCAAGTTCTCCGCCTCATTGGTCTTCAGCTTTTCCCACCCCGACCCCGACCGGTGGTTTTGGGCGCCGACCCCATGCGCCCGCCGGGCCTGGAGAGTTCTTCTGTCCGTCCCCGTGAGGATTGACTGTCCCGACTTTAACAGCACTGGCATGTTGGAGAGCTTACGCTTGGCCTTGCGCATGGTGGGGCCTGGTCCGTTGTACGTCTGTGCCTGGGCTGAGCAGGCGGCGGCGGCAGTTTGGGCCATCGCCTTAAACGCTCAAATGCTTGAGCTTCAGCGTTTAAGCGTCATCCACGGGAGGAGAATGTCTAGGTCTGACCTCGTCAGCCACACGCGCACGTCTGCCACACTTGCTGAGGCTATGGTGACATCATCTTCCGTCCCTGTGCGACTCAGCTGCAACAATGTTTGCTGGGAAGAACGAGCTCTGGCTGCAAGCCGCAACACTGCCCCGTTCGATTGAAACCATGGGAGAGAGATTCGCGAGGAGCAGTTGAAAGGAACATCTAAAGTCCAAAAATAGATGACAAAGAAGTAGCATGCAACTGCAGGAGAGAAGTGCTTTCCTAGACTGGCCCAGTGACTGGCGTTTGATCACCTCCAAACTAGCCCCGGCCTTCTTGGGCCCTCCGCCTCTGCCCGTCTCCCGTCCGCCGCGAGGTCGCCCGGCGGCTGCTGGAGGCCCCAGGAGACCTCGTGGCGGCGGTGAACGGGGCCGCTCCGGGGCGACAGAGCAAGGGCTTCGCCGAGGCCGGTGGAGTGGAGTGGGGGCGGGTGGTGTTCAGCCGGGTGGTGTTCAGCCAGTTCGGAGGTCTGGGTCTAGTGGAGGCCACGACAGGAATTGCTGGTTGGGTCTTGTTTTTAAACAGGGGAGAGAGGGGTAAAGATGGTCAAAGATTCAAGTCTCACAGTGTGGCGGATGATTGTGTGTGTTAGTTTTTTAGTTTCCATTCCCAAGATGGGTGTCCTTCAAAATGGGGGGTTCCCTCCCAAGCAACAAGCTGTGCTTTGATCCTCGACCAACAAGGTTTGCAAGTCTTCTCAATGAAACAGGATCAAGGGTCTTGGATGGGAGCGGACGGGCGCGGACGGTGGCAAGCTCCAGACCTATGCCGTGACCTTACACAGACCGATGGGACGCATGACGAGGGTGGTGGAGCACTGATCACAAGTTATGGTGGTTTTCCGTTGGAAAACACCGGCTGCCTTTCTGTGTTCCACGTGGATCGTTCAAGCGATGGCGGCACAGTTGCACGGCGATCTCAGGCTTTTCCAAGGCGAGCGCCCGATGATCATGAGGAGATCATGAGAAGTGCGGTCGGTGCACATGCTTTTACAGCGATTGCTTGAACTTGATGAGGCCAAAGTTCCTGCAAAAAATCAACAAAACCTGCAAAAACCACCAAAAACCACACCCAAGCCCACCCCACTCATCCGACCACCCGACCGCCCCACTCACCGGCGCTGTTCGTCTCGGACCCGCACCGCCGCCGGCGACCCCCGTCAGCTGCGAGGTGGAGTCCGTCAGCTGCGTCGGCAGCGGCGGCGACCGCTGCGTGCGCCGCATCGGCAAGGGCCGCCGCGTGCGCGAGGCCGACGCCACGGGGGAGTTCGCTGGGCCCCTCGGCCTCGAGAGGGTGGTCGGCAGCGGGCGAGGAGACGCAACGCGGAGAGCCGCGAGAGACCGGGGGGGGTGGAACGCATCACGTGTTGGGTGGGAAGGAAAAACCCAAGCACGGCGGAAGGCCCTCAGAGAGGCCGCCACAAGATCGAAGTTCTGGGGTGGTGTCATGCGACCTGAAGCTTTTGCAACACTACCAGGACCGACACCAGTCGAGGTGTCTATGTCCATAGCCTCGATTCGAGGTGAGGAAGGAGGTGTCCCAAAACCACCGGACTTGGATGGTCCTGGTATAGGTGTACGAAGTCGGTCTTGCATGGTCCGGAACCGGATCGGACGTTGAGCGATCGCCCGGTCCCAGGCGTTCCGAAGCTATCCCAGTCTACCTAGAGGGGATTTGGTTCTCTTTCTGCCCTCTTCTCTTGCTCTCCTCTTTGCTCTCTGAGCTCTGCTGATCAATCTGCTTGTTCTCTGCTCTTTTCTCTCCACTTCTCAGCAACTCTGCTCTTCTTCTCTTCTTCCTGTCCACTCTCCTTTCTGTGCTTCTCTGTGCTTCTCTCTGCCTGCTTTGCTTTCTGTGCTCCTCTCCACTGCGCTTCTGCGCTTCTCTCTGCTCCTCTTCTTGAGGCTTCTGTGCCGCTGCTGCCTCGTCTCCCCACTTGTCTGCTCGTGTGATGGCCGTTTGGGTTTGCCGCTGCCGTGCCGCTGCTGCCACTTGTCTCTCCACCGCTGCAGTCCCTCAAAACGACCGGCCACACGCGGCTGTTCAACGCGGTGTCCTTCGCCTCGGAGGGTGTCGGGCCGACGCTTCGGCAGCGCTGCCGCTTCGGTGGGACGGTCCGAGGCTCATGAAGTGCACGGTGGCCGGGCGTCGGGTCATGGAAGAGACCTTGGGGCGCCTCTTTCAGGAGAGGTCACTGGGGTGGTCGACTTCGCCAAAAGTGGACTAGTTTACATGTCTCGCGGCTTTCAGCCGAAGCTGGGGGCACTTATATACCTTTGAACACATTTCCATGACCCATGCATACGAGGGTTTTTCAGGGGGTGACTTGTTGGACCAAATCCTGAACTGCTTGGAGCTGGTCAGGAGGATGCTTCTTGCACAGGGCAAGCGTGGACTTTGCCATGGTGGCTGGAACCTGTGCAGAGGTGCCCGAGCTGGATGGATCAGTGGACGACTGACGTTGCGCCTGGTGGATGAACAGTCGATTTGGGGTGTTGGAACGTGTTCTATCCCAAGAAATCACCATGATTTACATCTATACACCACAAAAACAATTCTTACCGACTAAGCTGTTTGAGATCTATGCTGGTATAAGTCCTTAATCCTTTCTTGGTTTGTCCTTCAGCTTTGGTGTTCTTGGCCGCAAGACCGACAGCCGACAGGGCCAGTCTTTGTGACTTGCTCCAGCTGATGGCGGATGAGGCCTGGACCAAGTGACAGTGCCGATTCAACCGGGGAATCCGAAGCAGGGGAGACATGTGCTTTGATGGCGAGAGCCGGCCCATCCTTTACAGTAACCTTTTCAAGATGGCAGGACATGGGACATGGGTATATATATATATTTTTTCTCATCGTTTCTTTTTTTCTTGTGTTTCTCATTGAGGTGTGGGCGTTTTCACGGTGGTTGTGGGTTGCGATGACCTCTTGGGCCGTTTGTGTTGTTTTCTTGGTTTGAGGGAACTCACAGACACAGTTCATTTTCCCCTTGGCGTATGTCTACCAGTTTGAGTAACGTGCTTGGACCGGAAACTGCTTGAAGAGTGTAGATAGCACCCTGGACCCCGCAAATGAATGGCCACACAGTGAAGGCATCTGATTCTGGCAGGTTTGACTCATCCTTTTCGCGTGTTCGAACAGAACAACTGCCAGCCGAACACCGAGCCTCCCGCCAGGGCGTGGCGATCCATGTGGCCATGGGCTTCGGTGGGTGGCACGAGGTGAACACCTGCGAGGACCTCACCAGGCGGATGAAGTCGGACGAAGAAGCCAATGCACAGCATCGGACTCTTTACCCTTCAGGGTGGCCGTATTTCCAATGTCAAGTCGAAAGACGAGATTTTGCCGTAGTAGAGTCAAGGAAGTTCCCTTTCAGCTACCCCAAAGACATCTAAAGACCATTCTTGTTATAGTCTTGATGCCATGCTGAGGACAGCTTTCCATTTTTGTCTGCCTTTGTGGGGCCTCGCTTGGTCCTCGGACCATCCGAATCGCCTCGTCAGCGCAACCCTGGCGCGGATATGCGTCCCAGGGCCTGGAACGACACCGCGCTCTTCCTTTCGGAGGAGGACACTCGCACACAGGTGAAGGCGGGAGGGACGCCGCCAAAGGCGGCGTTTTGGTCGCGGTCACCCGTGGTAGAGGTGTTTTCTTGCACCTGGCAGGATAGTGCCAGCTTACCAAAAGCGATGCCCCCTTAGTGCGATTTTTTTTTGGTCTTGTGTGAACGGTCCATGGAAGCTTGAAGTCCCAAGCTCAATGCTTCAGCTCTGGAGTCGAGCACCTCTCCAACTTCCTCCTTGCTCATCTCCTCCAGGCCATGGGCTCCTGCCTTCTCAGTGAGGCCAACGACCTCAAACGGCCGCTGCCCATCGTGGCCAAGGCGCTGGCCGCTGGGAAGCGGCCGTCCTTTGGACTGGACGTTCCAACTGACCTTGAAACTACTAGCGATGGCCTGGCCTCCGACCTAATTGCGATGACCTCCGACCTTAACAGTGATGGCCTCCAACCTAATAGTCTAACTACCTTTTGGGGTGGGGGTAGTTGGCACGGATTCTTTGGAAGTGGACGTCGCAGACTTGGAGCTGGATGGAGCTCATGGCCTATATCGACCTCTTTGGAGACATCGATTCTTAACAACTTCTTCACCCCGCATTGGTACCGAACCCAACTGCCCAACATAGGAACATCAAACGCATTGATACCACACGCACCATTGGTGTTTAGCCTTGGAAGTTCACCAAAGCACGAGTCGGTCGATGGTTCTCAGTGAACAATTGGGCTACAGTTGGAGCTCAGGAACCATTAGTAACGATGATGATCTAGTATAATATTACAAATCTCCACCAAGTCGATCCCCACTGTCTATTTGGGGTGCCACTCTAATCCATTACAACCAAAAACCACGTCCGATTTGAAGATCGATCCACCTCCGGATGCCTTCCGAATCGTCGCTTGGACCCACACAAAACCTCACACAAAAGCCTCGTAAAAAGAGCTCCAGGAGCTGAATGTGAGCTTGGATTTGCTCGAGTGCCACTTGGATGCCCACGGCCGCTAGGGACACGGGGCGACGGATGCCGGGTTGTCCAGGACGTGCTTATGAGTGGTTCCAGTGGCAAAAGATCCTGGAACTCAGAAAAGGCCAGCTCATTTTGCTGGGTCCATGAGCTGAAATCTTCTTGGTAAGTGCGAAAGCATTGACCACAGTCCATAGGTTCCATAGTTCCAGACCACAGATCCCCCCCGGCCTTCCTCGCCGTTCTCCGCTTCGTTCTCCGCTTCCTTCTCCGCCGTTCGCTTCGCTTCGCCGTGCGTCCGAGGCTTGCTGCGGGGCGACTTGGAGGTGAGCGACGCGCTGGACGTCGTGCGCAAGATGAGCGAGGTCTACGCCGTGCCGCTGAACGACCTCTGGTTGGACGCGGACGCCGCTCGGCGGTCGCGGCGGGGGGTTCTACGGGTCAGACGGGAAGCCGCGGGGAGCCGTTTTGGGGGCGGGGGAGGGAGCCGGAGCCGTTTTGGGAGTGTGACGAGTGAGACGGAGGGTGTGTGGTGTGTGGCAGTGTGGATGCGGGGTGCTTGACCGACGGGAGCCGAGTGGCGATGTTGCGGCAGAGGTTTTTTGTTTTGAAGAGGTTTTCGGCAAGGAAGTGATCGGCGCTGGGGATGAAAGGGTGGCACAGGGTTTGAGTCTGTTCCATACAAAATTGGATCTACAGTACTGTCAATCAATTCTCCTCCCCTGGGGCCCAAAAGCTTTGGTGCTCGGCCAAATCCGGCCACCCAAAGAGGTGGGCTCTCAGGACACCTTGGCGGGCTGCCGAGTCTTCTCCTTCGAGCAAGCCGAATCTTCCAGCCGTGTCTTGGACCGTCAGGCCGAGGGGCAGGGGTGGCAGCTGGTAAGGGTTAGGTAGCTCGGTGCAAATCAGGATGCCTCCAAATCAGAAGCTTCTCGTCAATGTTTTGAACCTCCTGGAAGCACGCCCTTGGCTTGCCATCACTGGGGAGGGTGCTATGGGGATACTAAATTTTTGGGACCCAATCTCCCTGACAGGACCGATCGGGGCGACGGACGCCATACTACGAGGCACGGGACGAAGCCGAAAAAAGCTGGGTGTGAGCTCACGGGTGATGTTTGGCAAGACAAAGCTCTGTCCTGAGTCAAACATTGAGACGCCCTTTAGGGGTATGATGGCGGTATGTGTCTGGGCCAAAATGGGTACTGTACAGTACCCGTTTTGACTTTCTGTTCCCAGCCAGGCTGGGGCAGCCAGCAAGCTTCAAGCCGCATTTGGTCGGTCCTATCTTGCTGGGCCTGCATCCGGTACTATGAACGTCGTAGAGCTTAAATACTGCTGGTTCATCATGTATACTGTCCTTCAAGCAGATCGAACAAAGCATTAGGGAAATTACATAGCACCTACAGCGTATACATCTCAAGACCAGTTTCCTTTTCTTTTCACAAGCAACTCAACATGTCTTTGATCAGGATGCAGGATTCACATCTTTTATCCATTCAGGATTCAGGGGACGTACGACACTCAGCAAACCATAATCATCAAAACATCAAAACCTCTAGTAAATGTCACATCCTTTGCTATCACGCCTTCCTGTATCACCAACGAACCATGCTCTACACTCTACACGCCACCAAATCGGACCCCCCGGACCCGTCCGCTGCGCCAGTACCGGGACTCCGCCATGAGTCGCTGCAGCCAGTTCCGACCCGAATGGATCAAGGCGGCTCCGGGGCGGGGCGGGGCGGGAGGTGTCGGACGTCGGTGGCGGCGGAGCGAGCTGCTGCAGCTGTGCTGTCCTGTGACACCAAGGGGTCACCTGGTGGTGCTCGGGGTGGTTTTTGGGGTCTCCAAGTGATTGGATACATCATGGGGACCCCGATTCCCTCCAAGTTCGGCACCCCGAGATGTGTCTCCTGACATTGGAGACGTTCCTGTCTTCTTTTTTCTCGATCTTTAAGAGGGACCCGAACCCAGAACGAAACCCTCCCTGATCGAATCCTTTCGATCGGCTGAAGGTCTTGCGTGTGGCCCCTTGGTCTGCAGATTCAGTGTGAGGATGTGATCCCATGCGCGCATGTGGAGGGGTGCAGGAATTCTGTTTGGTGCTTCCCTCGCTCTAAGCAGACCCTGCGAAACAAACACAAGGGGGATGGTGTTTGCAAGGTGATCACTAATGGGAGAATGGACTGGGACGTTCACGGGCAAATCCTTCTGAGAGCAATGGAAAGGTTACTAGTTCATACCATGTTGATAGGAACCTCCGGTGCTCATAAAACGAAGTAGGTGGTGACCCTTAGAGGCCTTTTTGTAAGCCCTCAGTTGATTGATCACCTTCATTTGTATTGGATATGACCGTCATGCAGTGTCCCCTTCGCTAGGAAGCAAGGACTTGGAGGTGTGATTCCGCGACTATGACTTCCGCTGTGCCGATTTTGTGCCGGTCATTAGCGCGTTACGGAAGAAGATCACCCCAGATCTTGTCCAATCCATGTATAATGTAAACTCTAGAATCATTGCCCCAGGATGCATTTGCACCAATCCCATCACCAGCCTTTGTCAAAAATAGCTACAATTATGTTCACCTTTTTAGGCAATTTCTCACCGCAAGTTTCAGTTTCGTATACCCTATATGCCCTCTATTCACATCGCGCAGCCCTGCCAAGGCGATTCGCAGCAAGAGCAAGAGCACTTCCAAAGACAACATCAAGATGCAAAAACGCAGCTTTCGCTCCAGACAGCCCCCAATTTCTGAAAACGAGCCACATGTTTAAAAGCCACGTTTCACTGCACCTGGCACGAACTTAGAGCACGCCGACGACCACCACCACGGGCTGCGCCCATTTTTCACTTGCAATCAACTCCAAGCACTCGGGCAACTGTATCGACAAGCCCCGCGCATTCATAGGAGAGGCCTCCCAAGAAGTCAAACCTCTTTCAATGTCTTCGCACTTGCAGGCCGCGCTTCCGGAGCCGAAGCGGAAACCTGGACAGATGGCGGGGGCCGCGTGAGCCTGCCGAGGCTTCTTGGAGGTGGGTTCCCTTGTATCTCCCTATGCAGATACAAGGCTTCCTGCTGCTGTTCAGTCTGCAGGAGGCACATGTTTGGTGGAGGGCGCTTGTCGTTTCCTTTTCTAATTGTCTTCGTCTTCTCTCCTTCTTTATCTTCTTCTCACTCTTTTTGGCATGTTGATTTTCACCTTCGCCTTCACCTTCATCTTCATGTTCCTTTTCATCTACATCTTCATCCTCGTCATGGTCATCCTCTTCTTCTTTTTTTCTTCTCCGTTTTTATCTTTCTTGCTTTTGTTTCTCGTTCTTTCTTCTTCTTCTTCTCCTCCTTCTTCTTCTTTGGTGTCTTCTTCTGCTTGTTCTTTTCTTTGGGTTCTTGATCTTTTTCTTTTCATTGTTTTTGTTCTTGGTCGTGTCCTTCTTCCTTTTCTTCTGGTTCGTGTGTGTGTGTGTTTCTTTTTTTGGGTGGCTCTTGTTTTTGTTCTGTTCTGGATCTTGTTGTTGCTCTTGCTCTGTTTTTTCATCCTCTTCCTCTTCCCCTTCTGCTTCCTCTTCCTCTTCTTCTTCCTGTTCTTCTTCATTCTTTGTCGTTTTTTCTTTCATTTTGTCTTTTCCTTTTCTGTTCCTTTTTTCTTCTCCCTTCTCCTCTCTCCTCGCCACCTCTCTCCTCCGCTTCCTAATGATGAACTTGCCCGGATCTGAGCAGATCACATCTGCGCACAGTGCAGTGGCGTGCGTGCACTGCAAAGGCCTTCGGCAGGCCTGGAACAAAACATTCATTGTTGTGTTGGATGCAATAGAACGTACCAATGGCGCAGGCGCCGACAACTCTGGCTGGAAGAATGGGGCTTTGAACGTTCCATCCTCATTTTCCCTGTTCTGAAAGCTTCAAGCGTTGTAGCAGTAACTATGCGATTCCAGTGCGTATTTCCGTGCCCGCCCGTGCTGAGGCTACGAATGCCCCACAAACCACAAGACGTGGTGGTACTTGAACGACCGCATCTGGTTCTGGCCGTCAGCGCTGTGAAGACCAGGGCGGCGATCAGCTATTTTTGGTTTCACCACAAAACCGGCATTGGGGAGGATCTCAATCCACATTCTCCAATTCAATATTTAAGCGATATCGAACCTACGAGCAAAGGCAGAAGAATGGTGGTTGTAACTGTAGTTGTTGGGAATAGATATGAGATCTCCACCTTTGGAACGCCAACCTAAGACTTATCCATAGACACTGGGTTTGTTTCCTCGCCGGTAGCGAAGAACATGCGTGTCCAATCAAAAAAGCGTTGCTAAGAAGGCCGCATTCGTGAAGATCTCAACTCATGACGGCAAGTCTTTTACCTCTAGCTAGTTGTTGAGACGGTATCAGTCTGGAACATCAGCTCATCAGTAACTTCCGGCATGTGCTGCGTTGACCTGTCCTTTTGCTACTTGCAAGCATCTGCGTGTTTGTTGATGACTCAGCAAATCTCGCATGCAAGAGCTTGGCCGATCGAGCTTGCCTCTAAGCGTCATTTTATCGTAGCCCTGGACTGCCCCGTGTAGCTGATATAGGGTAGAATAGGTAGACAAATACTGCTAGACACTTCTTCGATTTCAGAGGTATCAACAAGTGCATCTCCGAAAGCTGCTCAGCGCATAGGATAGTGTAGTTGCTGTGGTTCGCCAGTCCCGCGGTTTCGCGCCCAATGCCATGGCATTGGAATTCCTCTTTCGCGTTCAACAGCAGTTTGCGGGGCAGCATGTGGAGCTTTTCGCCTGGCGACATGGCAAGAGGCATCGTATGTTGGCCACCTCTGTTGAGAAGCAGCAGGTGAACTTCTTCTCGTGGGACGTCCACAGCCTCAGGTTGGCAAGGCTTTCGGGAGGAGGCGGAGGTCTTGGACGTGGTCTTGCATTGGAGCGGCGAGCAAGCTCGTGCGCGCAATCTCTTGGCGGGATCGTGACTGCGAGCGCCTGCTGCTGCTAGATTATCATACTCGACAAGTCAACTTCTATTCGCTGGGCGATACCATTCACAGCTCCGGCTGGCATGGCGCTGGAAAGCTAGCGGGCGAGACGTTTACAGGGCGCCTGTGCTGGAAGGGCAACACCGAGCAGTTGCGCGAGTTCTCCTTGGTCTAGAAGCCCAACGTTGGAGCCTATGCGGATCATTATCGACTAGTGAAACCATTGCTGGGGCCAAAAGCAGATGTTTGAATGGAACCAGTAGCCAGTAGCAAAAAACTCCAGCAGCACAGTGCCGTCTGGCGTGACGTGTTTCTTGCGCGTGCTGGACATCGGAGGCAACAACGAGAGCAGAGCAGTGAGTTCCAGCGCGTTTCGTGGCAGCGCGTTTCACCCTAGAGAGTTTGAACGCCGCGGCGTCACAGGAAACCAGGTTCACATGATCGAAGAGCATCATACTTCACCAGGTACATTCGCTCAGCACATCTCACATGCGGTTGCTCATGTTTTGTGTTGCGAATGCCGCTGCGAAGGCTTGTCCGTGGACGCTAGCAGTTGTTTTCGCGCAATACTGATTCTCTCCGATCGCCGTGTGCGCAAAAGAGCGCGCCGAGCGCGCAATGGGGTGTCCTACTTTATGTACTAGCCGCTAGCGTGAAGCACCATGCCTATCAAAACGCGAAAGTTCTGCGTTGACCTGTCATGTTGAGAAGACCAGTCTGGCCGTTCGGCCCTTTAGGAGCGCCCATGGTGTCAAATCGAAGGAAGCTTCCGCAGGAACGCGCAAAACGAACGCTGCGGGTGCGGATGGTTGAGAAAGTGGCTGCCATCTTGATGAGAGCCCCCAGATGAAAAGGTTGTTAATCCAAATGAGGTGGGCTTATTCATCAAGAGTCTACATTGGATTATGCTCCAAATCTCGCCCTTCAAGCGGGACTGTAGACCCTCCCCAGCAAGTGAGGAAGAACGCCCGACCAGCCTTCGACATCGAGCCTTCGTAGATCCCTCAACATTCGACACCTGAGGTGACGAGTGGAGATCCTCTGGATCCTGACATCCAGATGAACAATGGGCAGCTTGGCGAGCGATGACCAGTCTACCGAAAGACATGGTCGTTTTGACCTGAAAGACATGCCCACCTTGCTGGCTGACTAGGATTTATATACATATATATATACACACATACATACAGACATACAGACATACAGACATACATACAGACATACATACATACAGACATACATACATACATACTCCAGGGTGTTCTAGGAACGATACTCAAGCCAGCATGCTGAATGGCTAAGTCATGGTTGAGGGGAGGATAAAAGCATGCCTTAGACGGCTCAAGACCGTGCATCCTTCAGCTGCTGAATGGGGTATAGATGACGAGAATCGTGGAACAACATGGAACGACATAGTAGCCCAGCGTCGCTGAACGGGATTTGGCTACGAAGACACGACGCCGGATCCAAATGACGTTTGTTGATTTGGGGCAGCCCGGAGAGTTGAAGGATTTGGCTTGCATGCACGGTGTGTAATGGTGTACCGTTTATCTTCATCATCACTCTTTTGTGCGGAGTATTGAATCTGTTTTTTGTTGCGAAGTGTGTTCCCATGTAAATTTTTTAAAAGGAACATTAGATGTGTTTCTTTGTGATTATTGGCAATGTGACGTTTTTCCTTTTGCAGGGTTTGTTTACAGACCCAGTTACATTATGTTAGATCAATTCTTTTTGTGAACATTCCTTTTCTTGGAAGAAAACAACACATGATCTATTTCGACAAGACGGCGCTGTTCCCTTGGTTCCTTGGTTTGGCAGGATGGCAGATCGTTTCCAAGGCATTTGATGATGCAAACGACGCTCTTCATCGGACCCGTGGACTTCTATTGGAAAGACCGACGCTTGGCTTCCACGGTCCGGTGTGGCTTTAGGGGAGGTTTTCTAGATACCTTTGATACTTTTCTTACGACTAAAAAATGAGTTCAGGATGAAAAAACAAAAAGGTTCGGATGATAAAGGCGATGTTTGCCTGCTTTGGTACACCGGGGACAACCGCTCAAGGATGGTGCATGAAGCATGGATGCACAGATCGATGCTCAGATCGATCGATCGATCCGCTGTGGGAGGGAGACCCTCCAAATGGACCAATCTCACCGATGTGTCAGTCATTTTTGGATTGACTGGGGACTCTCTTGAGACTCCCTTGGGACTCTCTTGATATTCTCTTGGTGGATTGAAAGCCACATAAACCCACTGTTGATGGGCCGCCGCACGCCGCATCCCCTGGTGGATGTGGTCCACCTGGCCCAATTCGCCGCTCCTGAGGACATGGCAAAGTCCATCGTCGGGAGATGAACACGGGGGACAGCACCTTGGAGTGGAACCGTGGCCGTTGAGGTGACCGTGGGTCTTTTGGACCCCTTGGATCAGGGGGTGGGTGTCTACTTGGACACCCCTTAGCCTTAGCTGTTCAGGGGTGTGAGTTTCACCACTCCTTAAGGGGGGGGTCCTGGTTCCCCTCATTTTTGGTCTGGGATGAATGAATGGTCAGAACTTCGGCTGGACGGAGGGCACTCTTCTTCGCGCACGAGGAAAAACGCAGTTTTGGGTGACCAGTGGGTGGTTTTCGTGGACTGCAGGGGCGTCCAAGGTTTCTCGAAATGTGGGAGTTAAAGGGTGCTACCTGCAGGGTATTCAGGTATTTGACCCTAGGGCTCCAACCACCTCCTGAGAAGGTGGTTGGGGTGGGTGCCAGGGGGGTCTAACCACCGAACCTGAGGATATGGTTGGAGTTCTAGGGTGATGGTATGTGTCTGGTTGCGTGGACAAGTCTATTGGCCGAGATGACCACTCTGCTTCTGAGTCTCGGCCATCCTCTGTCGTGTGCATCCGGCTCCATGCTCCTTGCATTCACCACCATGAGTGCATTCAGGACCTTCAGAAGCTTGCAGATCACCATGGTTCCAAGGAGGAACCTATGGACCTCAGAAGGAATGTGGAACCACCTAGTGATTCCCATGCTTCCACTAGTGGTTCTCCATGCTTTCATCTAGTGATTCCAAAGGTTCCGATTGAATCCATAGTCTAGTACCCCTCCTTTCAAAGCCTGTGGTTCACCAAGTTTGCGAAGGGAAGCGGTCGGAACAGAACTGGCTTCTGGCGCCGTACTGGCCAGAACGAGATCGATGCTGTAAATCCACAAAACACCCGTGAGAACCCGTGGAGGTTTCCATAGGTTTCCCTTTGACTGAGGCAACTACATTTCGCCCTTTGTGCCCCACTCCTTCACTGCCCGAAAGGATGCACCTGAGGCCATCATCATCGCTGCCGCTTGGTCGCGGGAGGGGTTGAGAAGGACTGCGGCCGGCTGAGAAGAGCTGAGACCAAAGATACAGCTGAGAAGAGCTGAGAAGAGCTGATCTTGAAATGGCACCTAGGGGGTTGCGGGGGCCTGAGTCGCCTGGAGACATGCTCTGAACACTTCAGTTTCGATCTTCCCCCCGATGAAGTCGGGCCGGAGCCCCCACTTCATAGGACGCTCGATTCCCAGGTTTGGATTCAACTGAACGATGCCTGATGTCCTCAACCTCCAAAGATGTTGCCCGCAGCATTTCGGCCCCAGTTTTGCACCCGATTTTCAGCCTCGAAATCACCATGGTTCGCCGCACTGCAGGTGAGGAAAGGGAGGGGGGTGAGATCCGGGGCTTGGCCCGCGCAGGCGTTGGCGCAAAAGACTGGAGATGAGAGATACCGCGATGAAATTCGGTTGTGGTGTCCAAATTTTGGAACCAGCGGCCAAGGTCAGGTGGTTTATTTCCCGAAACCGCGCATGGACCCTCCAATCACCTCTCCAAACTTGGGTGCAAATGGCTAGAAGAGGTCCGAAAGAAAAAAAAAAACATCACAAAACGGCCCCAACAAGAGCACTTCAGTGCGCTTCGGGTTTGAGCGCTCCAACCGCGTCGCGTTGCGGGTGCGCGTCCGCGCGGCGCCGATCCGCGGATCCGTGTCGCTCTCAGAGGTTCCAACCTTCTCCTTGTGGCGCTCGGCGCCCTTGGGCTCCGATGGGCCTTCGTGGGGTCCTCCTCCTCGCTCCGCGGCAACCGCGTGGCGATGGAGGCGGAGAGGAAGTTCATCGTGGGCCGCTGGGACTGTGACCGGTGACCGGAGAAGGGGGGGCGACCTGGGGAGGTGACTGTGACTGGGAGGGCTTGAGGGATGTTGAAAGACTTTGACGGTTGCAAAACTTTGGGCCAAGCCTTGGGTTTTCGGGCGTTTGCAGTTGCTTTGGCTGGCTGGACAGCGTCTTGCTTGATGCAGCCTAGCCGCTGGTTGTTCTGCCGCCCGCACCGCCGCTCGAAGAACAGCGCGAATCGCGCGAGCGCGGCGGTTCTTCGCCCAGGTGGGAATTGGAAGGCGAATGGAAGCCCCGACAGCGTGAAGCAGCTGGTGAAGGAGCGGTGAAGCTGGTGAAGCAGGGGGATGGCAGGAGGGGATCCTAAGGATCCGGATGCCAGTTGTTTGGGGGAAAGCCCCCCACCTGTCCACAGGGAACTCATTGGACAGATGGATGGACGAACGAACACTCCAGCCACATGGGTCAAACAGATCCGATGTTGGGGGATTGCCTGGCTGGGAAGCGTTGGGGGGGGGGACACACTAAGTGAATGCTCTTGGGGTATTCTTGACATCGTTGCTCCATAGTTTCATAGTTTGTGAGATGGACATGGAGATGGCGGAATGAGCCCGAGCGCTGTGACTCTCACCAGTGTGTTTTTTCGCATGAGGAACGCATTTGGACCATCACCTTGGGCCAATCGGTCGCATGCACTAAGACCTGCACTAAGACCTGGTCCTGACCCTTCGCGCCCGCTGCGAACGGGCGCCGCGCGCTTCGGCTTCGGCGCTTGCTTCGACCAGGAGCTGAACGACGGAGAGGTCACCTCCAAGGAACCGCTGGGGGCGGCGCACGGAGAGGTCACCGGGTCAGCGGGCCCCGCGGAGCTCGGGAGCGGAAGAGGAGGCAGCCAGGTGGGTTGGCCACGAGGAGGAGTTGTTCCCATAATACATGGTTGGTGCAGCAACCTAGCCATCGATGTCGAAACAAAAGGCCCTGAAAGGCTTCATTTTTGGGACCTTCGCCACCGACCGTGCCGAGCTCGCGTCGTGCGCCACTGGTCCCCCGCAGGACGTGGAGGTGGTGTGCGCACCGCCCTTCGTGTACCTCTCCGAGGTGCAAGGCTCCCTGCGGAAGGACCCTCCGGTCGATGCGGCGCGGCATGTCCGCGGGGGTTGGGTGGGGAGGCCAGGGGTGGGTGTGGAGGTCAGGGGTTGGGTGGCGGCTTGGGTATATATGGAGGCTGGTTCCTCCGGTGGTGTAGTGACAGTCCAAGCGGCTTCAGGTGGTTTCGGGTGGTTTGGGTTTGATGAATGTGCGACGGGTCACTCATTCACGTGGCGGAGGTGGATCATCGCAGAGATTTGATAGATCATATGATAAGGCAAGGATGTCCTTCGAAGATCCTGGCACCCAAATCGGAGATGGTCCAAATGATGAAGAGGGAGCGGATTGGTCGCTCCTTTCAGGACTATGCTGTGGCCGCTCAGAACCTTTGGGACAAGGACCCTGGTGCATGGACAGGCCGGGAGAGCCGGGAATCGGTTCACATCCCGGCGCAGTGATGAACTACGGAACTTCCGGAGCAGTCCGCCGGCGTGTGATGATCGCTTCTTCCCGTCCCCCCCTCACCACTCAGCAGGTGAGCTTTGGCCTCCGGTTTTGGAGAAACCTCAAAATGCATCACCATCCTTCGCTCCCCTTTCGTTGCAAGGTGAGATCCCTGCGCAGATGTTGGCGGACATGGGCATCAAGTGGGTGACTGGTATTTGAAACGGGTCCGGTCCGGTCTGTCCGGTCTGTCCATCCGCGTCCGTCTGCTGTTTCAGCGGGTCCAGCAGGTTCAAAGGGGTTGATATAACGGATCGAGCAGGACGGCAGAGATGCAGCGACAAGAAGGAGCGGGATGGGTGAAGGAGCTGCTTTACTTGCTAAAAGTGATCTCAAAGGACCAGCACCTTCCAACAGGTCTCCGAAATGGAGGGTTGGGAATGGCCCTAACAGGTTTCAATTGGTGACCTGTGAAGTCGGTGCTGGAAGAGAAGCAAACCTTTTATTCCTGGGAGAAAGCATGTAATTAGGAAGATTGCGAGACTACTGCTGGGGCAACCAGAGCTGGAATTGCACTTGGGGACGGAGACATGTGGAGTCGGACCTGCTAGTGACCCCCTTTTGGCTCCCAAAAGCACTTGCCCATGGGCTCCGTCAAAATGGCGAGGTTCTCACAGCTTCTCACAGCCCCCTTGGTCTCACCTCCGCTTGCGTCCAATGGCTCGTGCCGCTCGGAGGCCGGTGCCCATGGGGGTCGAAGCGACCGGGTCGCGCGGCTGCCGCGCCCGCGGCTCGCCGAGGTGGTCCTGGGCCACAGTGAGCGCCGAGAGAACTGCGGGGAGACCAGCCAGATCGTCCCTTGGGTTTTTGAAGGAATGGGGGGGGAGAGGACGCGACTCAGAACAAGGGCATCGCGGCATAACCAGTTCGGGGCTGGCCTAAACAAACGAACGGAGCGATCGGACGCTACTATAGGAGAATGGGAGGAGAGATGAAGGGAGTTGGAGGAGCTTTCCTGTAGATTCACCTGATGGACCTGAGCTTCCCTGGATGTCCCATGTATCGACATCACTTGTCCCTTCCAACTGAAGGCACCCAACTGAAGGCAATAGCGAACCCATGGTTTGAAAACCATCCTGAAAGACCTGGTCAAGCATGTTTGCCCACATGGAAGTGGAAAGCCCTCCTCTTTGATCCTATTTGTAAAGATGCGTCAGACCACCATGTCCATGTTGGTACCGGTCACCGACTCCCTTCGCCACTCCCCAGGTGGCCGAGAAGACCAAGTTCGCGGTGGACAACGGCTTCAGCACGCTGACCTGCATCGGAGCCTTGGCCGGGATAGTTTGGGACGACCTGAACCTGGTCAACCGTCCACATTTGTCAACCGGGCCCTGCCTGAAGGTCAGGGGCGAAACAGGTGCCATGACCTAGACAGCCATGTAGCTTTTCTTTTCTCGGATCAAGAGGTGGAGATGACAGGGGGAGCCCCAATGGGACTGAGGTCGGGGGGGTCGGATCAAGACCACCTCTGTGACGTTTGGGTGACGTTTGGGTGACGTTTGGGTGACGTTTCGTTTACGGGTGACGTTTGGTTACCGGGTTGGACGTTTAGTTACGTTTGGGTTCGGAGGTCCCTTTTTGAACTGTCACTAGTCACTCGAGATGCTCGAAGCCTCGCAGTCTTTTTTCACCTTCAATTCCGATTTCTTCCCATGTTTTCACGGTTGCAAGTCAATTTTCCGTGATTTTTGGCAATTTTTTAGACCAAACACGTTTTTTTTTTGGTATTGTTGGTTAATTTTGAGTTGTGACCAAGTTCAAAACCTCTATTGTTAATCTTTTAGTCCTTTATTTTCCGATATTTTCAGGGTTTAAAGTCAAGTTTCTTTGATTTTTTAAAGCTGTTTTTGTATTTTGTTGTCATTTTGACTGGTTGGGCTCAAACTGTACGCGCACCAGGGTAGCCACAGGGCTGCCACAGAAACTGAAAAAGTCGGATTTTCCTTAATTTGTTGTTATTTTCCTTAAAAAACAACCTTAAGGACCTAACACACGAAATTTGGCAAGCGCACCTGTTGGGTATCGAGATCCACTTTTCACTGGAAAGCTGCATGTGAGGATAGAAGAGAGCTGGTAGAGTTGCAACAGACACAGTGCAACAGACACAGAGGTAGAGTTGCACGTTATTTTCAAAGACAGTTTCGTCTTAAATTCGACCCCCATCGACCTATGGCTTGGTCCAAGTTCCCTTCTTGTGGGGAAGAAGCCTCCCCATCTTTGGGAAGGACTGGAGCGGTCGGACGCGAAGCGAACGGGGCGCTCCTGGCCTTACTAGGAACAAGAACGCTACGTAGTTGGAACACCGACTCAACAAAGGAAAACACCCATCTAGTTTTGTTCAGCACCGACCCATGCGGCGAGGCGAAAAGCTGGATGCACGAGAGGCGCCGAGCTCCCCGGTTTGCGCGCGGGAGGAAGGACAGGAGGTCTGACCTCTTTGGATGTGGAGAGTCGTAGCGTCAGACGGTACTGGAGGTTTTAGAGCACCGGGGTTTCACTTGGGTCTTTGGACCTGGTTTTGTGTAAAGGTTTTGGAGAGCAGCAAGGCGGGTCTGTAAGAAACGATCCCGGACATGCTCCCAAACTGAGTGGGCATCTTGCACCACGGAGCATGCCACGGTGCATGCCACATGCCGCGGCTCATGTGCTGCAGCCTGTGCATAGATGGATTTGTTAACAGCACCTTCATGTCGGGGTCACCAATGGAAGCCCCAGCTCACTACTTGAGGATCGATCTCCATTGAACGCCCCTTTGAAGGTCCAGGCCACGACCTGCGTGCACAGCATGCCCGCACGCGCATGCCACGGCACGCGCTTCGTTCCCACTTCTGACGTGCCGAGCTGGGTGTTCTTTCCTGAGCTGTGCGGGACCAGTGGAACTTCACACGATGCCCTGTCGATGGGTCGTTTGGTGGACGGTCGATTCATCCTTTTCTCGCTGCACTGCGCACGCCTTGCACCCTTTAACCGTGCCAGCTGCACAAAGAGTCCTGGCAGCTCGTGGCATGAAGGTAGGGTGCCAAAGCAGATCGAACTCATCCGTGAGTGATTCTGGCATTATCCAGGGCGGCCAGTGGAGAGAGTGAGAATTCCACTGCACCATGGTGTGGCCGCAGTAAAACGTGCCATCAGTCGTGGTTGAGAACATCTGCGTACTTGAAAGTTGGTACAAGGACACCACTTGTGCGATCTATGAGTTGGCCACCTATGCGCAACGCAGCGGACACACGACATGTCATCATCGCCTGCATCCCCAAGCGCAGTGTGTTGGTAGTGTAGTAGCTGCTCGACCTACTGACCCTCTGACCCTCCGCGCCGGCTCGCACCGCCAGGGCGGCAAGACCTTTGACGTGCTGGATGAACAGCTGCCCCGCGGCGAAGCGGAGCGGACGGTTTGAGAGGGTGAGTCGGTCGAAGAGGGGGGAGTCAGTCCTTTCCTTGAAGAAAGGGCGTTTGGTTACCGGTGAAACAGCAGGAAGATGACATGCTTGGATGGGTGGGTACGGTCTGCGAAGCCAACAGTGAGGAGGATCATGCCACACACGGGTGTGTGTCTTAAAGCTTCGCGATCGTCTCCTTCTCGGGTCTCTTTCGCCATTCCTTGCTGCTTCCAGTTTCGATGCAACTGCAGGGTTTGCTGCTTCGTTTCGCTTCGCCGGCGCCCCGGCTTCACCCGCCCAGGAAGCCTTTGGCTGATGTCCTGTCCGAGGACTGCTTTCGACCTGGGAGGTTGAGTCTTCGGCCTGTGTGGTCGGGAGGCTCCACAATTCCCTGGCAGACCATTTGAAGGCTCTGAGTCCCGATTCCAACACGATTCTTGAGCAACTTTGACACGACAAGAAACCGTGTCAACCATGTTCTTTAGTGGTCTTGGAAGGGCGCAAGCATGCCGGTTTCATGTACAAGCCACGATTTGCCAAGGTGATGTTGGCACTAGTCTTCGTCCTCAGTGACATCCCGGGATGTTTCAAGGACTTTAAACTACATGAGCACCGGCAGTTCCAAAGGTGGGGCCAGTATTCCCCTCACTTAGGCTCAACAAACCACCCCTTTGGAACTCCTAAACATGCACAACATGCGTTTAAGCATCAATCCTTCTTCATGCTAGGCCCGGTTCTGGCATTTCTGGCAGTCTGGGCGTGGAACGCCTTCGGATCGTGGAAGCCCTCTCCAAGCTCATCAGCTGCAACTGGACCACCCTTTCCAACTCCACCTGGGCACCTTTATGGGTCGAAGTGCTTTTGGAGATCGGGCGGCGCACGTGGCGGCCGTAACGGCGGCTTACTGGAACGGCCGCCGGTTGAACCCACCAACCGCATTCCGGAGAACCGGAAACGGAACCGGCCGGGGTGCTTCTCACAACGCCCTCTCGTCCGCGCGCGCTCTCGCGCCGCACGCTTGCGCGGGGAGAGGACGATTGGGAGAAGGTGGTCCTGGCCTATGAGCCCGTCTGGGCCATCGGCACCGGTAAGGTGGCTACCCCTGAGCAGGCCGAGCGCGGAGGGCGCGGAGGGCGCGGAGGGCGCGGAGGGTGCGGAGGGCGGAAGCGAGCAGCGCAGAGAGGTGGGGGAACCAATTGGCCTGGAAGAGAGAGGAGCGGAGGATCACTCTGGTTGTGAACTCTGAAATACCTGTGAATGAGATATGAGATATGATAAAATGAACATGGTGTTTGGCTGGGCCCCTCGATGTAGAGAGTGATTGCTTTTTACGCCCATATGGCTTTTCAGGTGCAGATTGCAGATGTTCTGTTTACTGAGAACCGGGTGGCCACCGAAGATAGGCCACCGGCCCGTGCCTTCCGCTCCGCCTCCGATGGTTTGTCGGGACTGGTCTCAACTGCATGGGAAGCTTGGTCGACCCGGTTCCGGTGGTTCGGCGCGTGTGTCGTCTTCGAACGGACTCGGAGGCCGAGGAGACGCATGCCTACATCCGCAAGTGGCTGGCCGACAACGTGTCCGAGAAGGCGACCTTGAGAGCTTGAGCGAAGAAGAGCGAAGAAGTCATAGACCCAGCGCAAACCCGATCCAAACCGCATATATCAGATCAGATCAGAATCATCCATTTGTACCTTGTACCGGTGGTTGATGGACATCCCGAAAGACCTCGATCAGGAGCTACAATTGGACACCCCCTTGACTTAGGGGCCCTTTGGTGTCTATATGCCTCCGATTTCCTTCTGGTCGCTACACCGTGCTGCTTAGCTTCCCCCGGTCTCCCCCCCCACCCCCTCCACGGTGCGCGTCCCCGGGTTCCGCGGGTCCACGCGTGCGTCGTGCGCGTCCGGATCCGGGTCCACGCGTGCAGGTCAGCGAGTCGGTGCGCATCCAGTATGGCGGCTCGGTGAACGACAAGAACGCCGCCGAGCTGGGCCCCTCGGCCACGGCACAACCCCCACCCGGCGACCGGCAAAACCCCCACCCGGCGGGACGCCGGGACCCGGCGGGACACTGGGGGACTGGTCGGACCGGTGATGGTGGGGGGGTCCCGAACTTCGGGGAAGGAGAGCGTTGGAGTAGCGTGGAGCACCGTGGAGAAGGGTGGAGCGTGGTGGCTCTCATGGGCCAAGCTTTCGAGCCCTGCGTGGGAAATGGATATCTTGGAACGAACGGGACATCGAAGGACATAGGTCGACCACTTGACCTATTGGCGCATCGCAGTTGGTGTCCTTTTTCTTCCTCTCCGGAAGTGGTTTGGGGTCTGCGGATGATTTTCGATGCTTTCATTGAAGAGGTGCCGGTAAATGTTGGTGGATCCATGGTGGATCTTAAGAGAGAAGACAAGTTCAAGGGTCCGATGGCTTGGAAGACGTCTGAGATTTGTAGCGAGATGTTGAGATGTTAGTGCAGGCTTTTTCGGCTTCTAGCTTCCGGTCCCTTGCCCCCCAAAACCTGCCCCTTCCCGTGCTGAACGGCCGGCCGTGCTGAACGTAAGGACAGCAACCCAACATCGACGGCTTCCTGGTGGGCGGTGCGTCTCTGAAGGGTGGCGCCTTTACCACGATCATCAACTCCGTGTAGAGGAGCCTGAGCCGTTCCACCAAAACCCCGGCGCTTGGCGCTGCGCCTTATACCACCACCCAAAATGCCACGAGCGGCGATGGGCCCGAGCGCCGAACTGAAGTTTAGATGTGTTGATTTCAGATGGCAGCATGCAGCATGCATCCTAATAGCTGGAGGAACGTGGTGCTTTCTTCAGAGTCAAATCTCTTACCCTTGTGAAGATTTCGCATCACATGTCTTGTTTGATGTCGTGCTGACCTGCTTCATGTTCAGGCTAGGAATTGAACTTCTTCTGAATCCAGAGAGGTGTATCCTTCTTGGCCATATCAGGGGGTGATTTGGTACTTGCTGCTTGCTGCTGCGTGAATCTGGTTGGCGAACGACCAACTTCCATGAAGCATCATAGACCCAACTGAGCAGCACAGACTGGTCTGACCAGTTCAACACAGGAAGACGCTCAAGCTCTTCTGCAGCCCCACACGGATGGTCTCCATACCCATGTGTGGAATCTCTTGAAAGATGAGTCTGGCGGCTTTCTGGTGCGAGTAGGTCAGAGCTTCCATACATGTTTAGTCGCTAGTAGTCACGATGTGAATTCTTGTATGTAAGCATGTCCGTAAGACAACTAGAACTGTTCTTGGCCAGACTCAACTATGATTTCTCTAGGATTTTCGCCAATTCTTCACGGCTTCAAACAAGAGCGCCGCGACGGGGACGGTCGGGGCTGAACATGGGTACGCGCGCGAGAAACTCGCGACCCGTCCGGCATGGTCGAAGCTCTCATCCAAGAGGGGTCTTGAGGGTCCCTGATGGTCTTCCGGTGCTCTTCGTCTCCATTTTCGTTTGGCCAAGGTGTGTCACTCAGGCACGAAAGCAAGCGTTCTTCTTTCGAACGAGCTGCCCAGCCGCCCCATCAAGGGGAAAGGACCCATGACCCAGCCGCCCATGAACCGATTCGTGGTTCGGTCCCCAAGTGTTTCATCGCACGGAGCACGAGAACGTCGTGCCTGCCACGTGGTTCACGGGTCCCCCACGGGTCCCCCACGGGTCCCCCACGGGTCCACGGGTTGGGAAGGACGGTCTTCGGTTCCCGGACCGGTGGGGCGAAAAGGCCCTCGCGGGATCGGATCGGTGCTGTCCGGTCCCGCCCTGCAGACGGGACTTGGAATGGAGCACACACCTCCATGTGGAGAGGGGAGCACCTGGACCTGGGTGGAGCCCAGAAAGTCGTCCACGCAGTCCAGTGGAGTTCAACTTGATATCTGAAGAACGTGCCCGAACTTGATATCTCGTGAGGTCACCAGTTCGGGGCTCACGACTTTGGGTCACAAACAGAGCAAAGAGGTCACGCCATGAAGAAGCTGGAATGCCATGAAAGTAATAAGAAAGGCACCAGGCACTTCTATCTTCTATCATCTTCTATCCCTATCTTCTCTTTCATGGTCTTAGCTCCTTGCAGCAGCGACCCCGCATTCCTGAAAGTCTCGAGGTCACCTACGGCGGCGCCGTGCGCCGCGCCTTTACCGAGCTGAGCCGCGTGGGCGCGGCGCAGGTGGCGCGCCTCGCGGGCGACTGGCGCGCCTCGATTCGGCAGCGGCCACGCGAACCGGGTGGATTCGGGGGAATGGGAGGCATCCTGTTTTTTTTTCGAGTGGAAATCGCGCGGGTGAAGGGGGTGAAAGGGGGAGGTCGTGATCCAGGGAGCTTGAGTTTAGGGTGGTTGATGAGCCTCTTTGACAGAGGTGGAAAAAGAGGTCTTGCAGAGTCCGGTTGGTCCTCCGGTTGGTCGTGTACAAGGGTCGTTCCGGTTGGTCCGATGGCTCGTTGGCGCGGCTGAGGCGACCCGACGGAAGCCCGGAAGTGTTTGTTGAAGTGCCTCGGTGCCGATGAATGCACGTGGGCGGTCGGCAGGGTGCATTTCGCGTGTGGTTTCGCGAAAAAAACGAGGATTGAAGCCGAAAGAAGAGGGATTTGGTATCTACTGTAGTGGAACCATTTTTGAAGAACTGCCGGAATGACCATAAACTACAAACATAGCACAAAAACAATATGAAAAGGCATGACTTTCTCGAGGTCCTTGGCTTTTCGTGTGCTCGGTGCTTGGACCGAGGCGGCGCCTGGCCGCGGAGTGCCTAAGCTTCCAGGACCTGGCGCCCAAGCTGGCAGCGCAGAACATCCCGGCAGGCACCACCAAATGTTCCACATAATGATAGGCCGATGTTCAGATGGATGTTGGAAGGAAGCAGGATAATTAGTAGACAGTATTGAGTCTTTTCAAAAAGCTATCTACTAAGATTTGGGGTTTCACGGAGGGTCCTGGGAACATGTCCAGATTCTATTCTACTCCAGTCCCCCGATCCTCTCCAGTCCCAGTCCTCCGGTCCGGTCCTCATGCTCTGCCGCTTCTTCAGGCCGGGTGGAGGAGCTGTTGGAGGGTCATGAGGCACGCTCGAAGCGTCGACGTCCATCGAAGCGTCAAGCGGAGCCCAGCGGAGCTGGAGTCCACGAGCTTGGCTTTGGTGGAAGGATCCCACACACAGGCTGAAGAAAGCTACCCCTCGCGAACGAAGTGGACCACTCCCTGTTTGGATCGAGGACACCCCATGCAGCGAGGAAGGGGTGGGTCGGGGGTACTGTAGCCGAGACGACATGTGTGCCAGGTAGTTCGGTCACTTTTTCCTCAGATAGCCAGCTGAAAGCTCAGTTGGGCCTCTTACTTCTCAATGACTTTTAGGTGGCTGACCGGCGTTTTGATGCACCAAAACGCCGTTCCTGCGTGGTCTCCCCACTTGTCTTCTCACATGTCTCCACTTTTCTGCCTCTCCTTATTTCCCACTGGTCTCCCCACTTCTTTTTTTTGCATTGTACACTTGAATTTTGTCTCGGGCGCTTAGAGTGTTGGCTTAGTTGCTATTTGGGGTCTATGCCGATGTCATTCGCCTACTTCTTGGTCCGAGAAAGGTGGCACCACTCTTCTCCTGTTGCTGTGCCTAAACTGGCCTAGTTTTTAGAAGACATGTCATGATAAATCCCTCCTTTGATCTGAAGAGGCCATCCTCCAGTTGTTTGGGAGTGGAAGGACCTCTGCGACACCGCACCCCGGGGGTTTCTTCCGACCGCCCCAGGCGAGCGAGGCGGAACTGGAGGCCCTGGCTTTGGTTCTGCACGTGCGGAAGGCGGATCTGCTCGTAAGCCCGCTGCAAGACGAGGAGGAGGCTCCTGCTGGTGGAGAAAAGCGAGAGAAGAAGAGAGGGGGGCTTGTTAAAGCTGCTGCCAGGAGTCTTTGGCACCACAAAACCACACGGATTGCGCAGAACCATGCCACCTTTCGAACCACCCATTCCTCATCCGCTTCTTGGTGCGTGGTTTGGATCCCCGGTCTGTGGTTCGTGGGTCCAATGTTCCAACCTCATGTTCCACAAACCACGGTAGGTTGAAGTCCCTCATAATTAGGGGACTTCATGGTTCATTCCAATTAAGGTCAATGAAGCAAATGAGAAATGAGAAAGGTCAATGAACATACCAGGAACCTCTAATATGGTACCATGAAAGCCTCATAGGGGGGAATTCATTCCTCTGTCCTCCAGGACCCAGCTCGTCCTCCAGCCGCCTGCGTCGTCCGGCCAGCGACGGCCAGGTGGTAGTGACCTTCGCGGCCGACAGCTGTGCGGAGGCGCGGCGCTCCGAGAGCTACGTCTTGGCGCCCTTGGCGCGCACCAGGCGAGGAGAGCTGACGGGAGCTTTGGGTGGGGAAGGGGGGAAAACGGAAGAAAGAATTGTGTTATCAAGGAGTGAGGTGAAGGTGTAGTTGAGATCCAATTGTAGCGGGTTTCAGTTCTGTTACCTTGTTTCCTACTTTGGTGATCCCTTAAGACCGGATGTTTCTCGTGTCGCGTGTGGTTTTTTGCGTGCAGCAGCCGGATCGTCGTTGTCAGGCACCAGCCAGACTTGAAGACCTTCGACTTGGAAGTTCTGGAGGGCGCGCGGCCTGGACACTGAAGCCTGGCTCAAAGGATCTGATTGGACCGGAGGATCTGCCATGTGCCTTGGGATTGGTTGTATGCACCCCAGTTGGGTCCGTTGTGTCCTTTTTATCGTCTTCCATATGCCAGGACCTTCAAAGTGACCTCTTTGGAGTCTCTGTTTGTGACCTTGTACAGACCTAAGACCTAAGTGACCTCATCCTGGGATATCAAAGGGTCACGAACTGAAGGTCCGGGTGGACCTGTTTTTGCCTCAATTGGAGGCTACAATCTACAACGCCTTCGCCTCAGACGACCACCCACCTGCTCTCCCCTTGTGGCCGGAGGCTCCAGACTTCGTCTAGCAGCTCCCCGCAGGTCATTCGCCAGTCTTTCGGGGACTTTCGACCTCCCACGGAGCTGTAGGACAGAATAGACTCTAATGTATACCCTGGGAGTCAAAGACTATAAAAACATGGTCTTTAGGTGACCCGAAACGGCATTTCCTTCACTTCAGTCGGTCAAAATATAGTCTTTGGACTTCTAGGGTATACGACTCTTGATTGATCACCGCCCCGGTCTGACGATGTTTGGTCAATCCAAACGGGGGAGGGTCAATCAAGAGTCTACACACCCCGAGCGACCGCATCTCTAGTGATCATGTCAAGGTGCGGTCTTTTCCGTGTCGACCAGACCCCGCAGCGGATCCGCTGCAGAGCTTCGACCCAGTGGTGGTGTGGCCGATGGAGACTGAGGTCTCGAGCCAAGCCAAGGAGAACAGAAGTCTCTCTTGAACTCAGGTCACCTAAAGATCATTCTTTTTGATAGTTGACTGGACTCCCAGTATTTATCTGGTGTTTGGACGACCCGACAGACCAAGGGACATGTGGCGCATCTCTGAGCCCGCGTCGGACAACTAGGACTCTGACAAACCTGCCATTGGAGCCCCGGAAAAACGGGCGGCTCCCGGCCAAGACCTGGCCCTTGGCTGGACCGCGTTTTTTGCAAGCCAAACCAAGAGAGGTTGAGAGACCAGAACTGGACCCTGGGATGTGGTACGGATGAGCGACAGAAGGCTGTTCAACCTCGGAAGATGAGGTCTGGGCTGTGGTCTTCATTCCTTCATCTATCATTTCGGATCGGAGCCAGTCCAGCTCACGCTCCTCGGGCGCATAGCGAGCATAGCTAGGAGCGGAAGGAATTCTGGCGCGCCGGCTGTGCAGTGAACCCCCAGGCCAAACAGAGGGTAATGATAGAACTGGGAGTCTGATCCTTTTCTGTAGATGTGTTAGAAATCATTTCCAAAGGTATACGCCAGCACTCTTAGAGTGTGGTCTTCACAAAAAAATCTAGCTGTTGTTTGGGTACAGTTTTCACAGGACTCTGGGAAATTCAACCCTTGGAGAAAGGTGGAGCAGCTTGGCCAAGTGTTACGGCTTCCTGTATCTTTTGGGGCAGGTGCCACCTGTTCGTCCCAGCCCGGAAGCTTAAACAAGCAAAAAGAAGTGGATGTTTCCCCCACGAACCACTTGCTACATAAAGGATCTCAAGCCATATTGCCATCTTGGAAGTCACCAGTCACTCTTTCTGCTTGGGTCTGTTTTTTTCCAGGAAAAGCTCGGAGATCTTGCGGGTTTCACCAAATTCCATGGCCAACAAAGGCTTTCAGAACCCGAGTTCGACGATCCCAGTTGGGTACTTCGGGGGACAGGTCCTTTGAGGTCGACTCGGATTCACCTCGAGTCGATGTGGGCTCAGGTGGGGCGCCGGAAGCAGTCAGATCCTTCGACCCGGCGACTCCGCCTATGTGGCACCGATGGTGGAGTCGCTGGGATTGGGAGAGGTGAGAGAGGAGAGTGGGGTGAAGGGGCAGGGATTGAGGGGCAGGGGCATAGAGTGATGTTCCACCAGTCAGTCACCAGTCAGCAGTCGACAGTCACCAGTCGTTTTGAAAGCACCCCAAAAACTCAGACTCTTTCAATGGGTTTTTGGAGGTTTCAGGCAGCTGTCCAGCCGTTTTCCTTGTTGGAGCGTTCGAGAAGCTGAGGCATCGCTTCTCGGTGATCCCACAGGCTCAGCAGGCTGGGTGTGGGAGAAACGGACCTGCGAGGTGAGTGGGGCCCAAGCACCAGGGGGGTGGGTGGGGGGGCGGTGAAGCACCAGCGCATGACGGACCTGCGATGTATCTGCAACGTCTTAGACCGCACAGCAACCTGACACCAATCCTGTGATCCTGAACATCTTAGTGCACCTGCTTCCACTACCCATGTTTGGATGATGAGTGCACGGTCCACTACCTAACAGGCAACCCCGCAAGGAAAGGGTCTCTAAAAACCAGCTTAGCCCAGCTTGGACATGGGCAAGACTTGGGACTAATTTTTTGACTATAGTCAACAAATGTTGGGCCTGTCCTATTACCTGTACCAGTCAGTAAACAATCATCACTATTTTAGAGAAAGGCCTGTAGTAACCATCATCATCCACTGTTACAGGTATTAGGATAGACCCAACATATAGTCAATAAATGGGACAAACAACATGGTGCCTAACGGTCATGCGTCCGAGCGCATCCTTTTTTCGCACACGTCCGCAGTGGTTGGTGGGACAGTCCAGTCCGGATGTGCGTGTTTTTTTATATTCTCCCACGCTGGCCACCCAGCTTTGGAGTCTTTGGTGGATAGAAACTTCCACTAGGAACAAGAAGCTACTAGGTTGGAGGCCATCGCTATTAGATTGGAGGCCATTGCTACTAGGTGGACACGTTCGCAGACCAGAGGGCGGGCGGCCTGGTGTCTGGCCATGAGTCGAACCCCCAGTCGGACCTCCCTGTGAGTCTTCACGTCAGGTTCACGGCACGAAGAATCAGAACGGCGCGGCCTGTGGAGTTGGAAGGCACCTCCTTCTGGTGCGCATCCCGGGACAGCTGTCCGGACTCCTCAGAAGACGGAGGGAGACCATCAAGAAGAGACGGCGAACCGATTCGGCCTCTGGAAGATGAGAAACGAACTACCAGGACCTTCAAAGCGACCTCTTTGGAGTCTCTGTTTGTCACCTTGTACAGACCTAAGTGACCTCATCCTGGGATATCAAAGGGTCACGAACTGAAGGTCCTGGTACATATTTTTGTTCAGCAATATCCATCAGGGACTCTTTTTCAAAAATTAAGAATCTGAGAAGTGAGGAAGTGTTCCTTTCCCTTGATTTTTTGTGGGCGTTCTTTCCGTTTCCATTTGTTTGGCTGCGGCTATTTGCATGTATTCGTTTTTGCTTTCTTGGCTTTCATTCCTTCGTCCCTGGTGTAGATCCATTCCTTCAGTGCCGTTCCGCTGCTTTTCTTTGTTTCTTTGCTTCTTGCTTCCTTGTGTGTTCTGTTGATTCCCCCTTCCTTTTGTCAGATATGCATTGTTAGAGCCCTGTTTTCCACACTGTTGCGCGCAGCTGAGCCAACGCATCTGGATCAGTTGCCTGATGGGTGAGGCGCTGGATCCCATCTCTATGAGCAGATGGCCTAAACTGTGGAGGTTGGACTCCTCCCTGATCCGCTCTTCTTTTGAGTCTTTGTTGTTTTGTCTGACTTCCTGTGTTGTCTGCCAGCACGTTCAGATCTTTTGCTATCATTTTAGATCGCTCGTACCTTGTCCCCAGATCATTCGAACCTCCAGATCCAGCCCAATCGATCAGTTTTTGGAACCAATGAACAGACACACATACAAAATCACTCACCCACCCACGCACTCAAGCCAGCCAGCCGTCCATCAATCAATTCTCTTTTGGATCTTTTTTCATCTCTCTAATTGCTTCCATAACATAACATGTCTGATTGCTTCATCAACCAGGACCACCACAAGCTGCTGCCCACTCACATGTGCGCACCGCCAACAACGCCGCAAGGATGCCAAGGGTTTTCCAGAACATGGCAATTCAGCACCAAAAGTTCGCATCTTTTTCGCCTACTTGGCCCATCCAGGTGGTGCGGAGGTGCGGCCCCCTCCAAAATAAAGCCTGCACCCCCCCCCAAAAGAAAACACCTCCCCAAAAGTCCCTCAAAAAGGAAACACCGTTCGTGTGCCGTTCGTAGCTTAGTATTAGCTTTTCAGTGCCTTTCCTTCGTTTTTCTCCCTTCCTCCGCCTCCCCTCGACGGTTCGGTCTCCTCTCCTCTCCAGATCGGTCCGGTCCCCTGACCTCGGTCGTCCGATGCGCTGTTTTGACCGACTCCAACGGTGGAACTTCGCCTCAAACGCCACTCGACCCTTCCTGCTGGACCTGTCGAGTCTCACTCCCGACATGACCTCAATTCCGCTGGACCTGTCGAGGACCTGCCGTTGTTTTCACCCAGAGACACCTGGACCCAGAGACCTCTCTGCGTTTGACCTTGCTTTCCATCCACATCCCCAAAAACACCCCGCCGCGCCGCGCGCGGCGTTCGGGTTCGTCTCGTCTCTGGAATCTCCCTCTTCCCTCGGAGCGTCTCTCCGCCTTCGCGCGGATTCGACGATGAAAACGCCCCGGCGACACGATTTGGATTCGGAGCCGGTCTAGGGGTGATGGGATGGACACATAGACCATAGGAAAAGAAGGAATAGGAATCGGAAAAAGGATAGGGTGTCCATCCACCAGCCCCATCTGACCGTGGCCCCAAAGCCGTTCTCCAAAGACGTCTCAGTGCTCTCGGCGGTGCTCAGGTCGGGCGAGACCTTGGCGGAGTTCGCCACCTTCTCCGCCTGCGGCCGCGAGCGCGTGGGCGCGGAGACGGCGGGGTGTCCCGGGGGGACCTGGCGGGGAGCGATGGATGGAGCCCTGCAGGGGAGGATGGATGGAGGGAGGATGGAAGAAGGATGGAAGAAGAAACAAACAGTGATTATTTTGGCTTGAGCGCAAAGGCGCACGTCCATCTTTTGGGGGGGTTTTGGATTGGACACATCTTGGGGGGAGTGCAGGATTGGAATGTCTCGATTTCAGGAGATGTGGGCGATGTGGCTGTTTGATCTGTTCTTCCAACAATTGCTGTTTTTTGTGAACACTGTGCAATTGTTGGGTGATCAGTGGGGCTGACAGAAGAATGGGCCAAGGACCTTTATATTATGGATTTGTATTGGAATAGGGAAACCCCCAAAGACGGAAGAGGACCATAGACAAAAACAACATTGGTTCTGACCCTTAAAATGCAGGCCCATATGTTTGCGGGGGAACATCCACAGGCTTGGGGTAGATGATCAGCAACTGTGCATTTTTTTGAGCGTTCAGTGCCAGCTAGACTTGACAGCAACTCTTTTTTGTCTGCTTTTGAGGTTTGTTCGTTCGGTTGGGTGCGTGGCCATGGCGTCTTCTTTTTTATTCTTTTTCGGCAGCGAGAGAGAAAGAGAGACGTGTAGAGCGTGTAGAGCGTGTATCTCAGGAGACGCCCATTTGCCTATCCAGTGAGACCCATAGAAGAACTTGATCCCGATCTAAGATAGGTCCCTACATCCCTACATCCCAAACTTCTTAAACAAAAACACAGGCCTCCAGTTGTAGGACTTCGAGAATCACCACATGACCCTGGAATTCCAACAAAAAAACCGATCATGAGGTCATGAGGTCATGTGAGGGGTTGAACTCTTGGCGAGGAACACACAAAAATAAACAGGCTTTGATGTCATAGACATATCCACCTGAAGAATCCTGAATTGGGTTGCAACATTTTTATAGTACACTATGCCTGTGGCTCTTTGCCTGCTCTTTGCTCGTAGCACTATGGAAGGTTCCCAACATGTGGCAATACTCCTTCAAAGGTTCTGTGTATATTTTTACCATTTTCCTCTCTCCTCCAGGAGAATCTCTTCCAGGTTGCCCTCTCCATGCATGCTGAGGAAGGGTCTCGATTAGGAACAGGAGCCCTCCATTTTTACCAGGAGCCTTGTCACCTTTGTCTTCTGTAAACCTACTCTTTCACCCGGGTGTTCTTTACCCGAGACCCGCCGAGGTCCGCTGGTACAACTGATGGTGCCTTGGCTGACAGGTGTTGCCGTTCAAAGACTAAAACACGCATGTGTTTTTTTGGTCCGTAGCGCGAATGTATTTCAACATTTGGATTCCTTCTGACAAAAGAAAGACACATGTGACAAAAGACGTTCTTTTTCGGGATCTGTACCACAGGTCTGAGGGTTCTACCTTGAAATGCTTTTGGGGGGGTGCGGCGAGCAGATGGACTGGCATGGCTGGGCCATAGCTGTATTTTTAGTTTTGGATTTCGGTATACCAGCAGTCACAAAGGGGTGCCTATTGGAGGATAGGGGTGCCCAGAACATCCACTCACTGGATGGGTCTGAAAACCACCCCTTTGTGACTCCTGGTATTTAGATTTAGCAGAAGACGTTACAAATCTCATTGATACAATTCTTCAAGGTCCGCAAAAGGATTTGCACCAAGGGGATTCACTTGACTGAATCTATTTCGGGGTCATTCTGCCCCACCTCCTCTTTTCTCTTCAATACATGCTTCTTCGGACCCTGTGACCGGACTTCCTTGGGACGACCTGCGCCACCGCCGCGCCTTCCGCATCCGAGGTAGACCAGTCGCAGAACCAGCCAGCTTCCAGGCGCCGATCCGTCCCGGTGACCCGTTCCGGTCCGCCCCACTGAAGCCGCCGAACCGCCGCGGAACGGTGCGCGGCGCGGGTGGTTCGCGGCGCACACGACCATCTGCTGCATGTGGCGCACGCGCCCGGCGTGAAGGAGGCCACGGAACCGCTCCCGGCGCCAGCTCCTTTGCCCCATGCCTGCACCACGACCCGACGCTCCGACGACCCGGTGGCGGTGACGACCCGGTGGCTTCTTCGGACCCCGCGGGAAGCGCGAGGACACCCTTCGTGCCGACCCTTGACTCCAATGAAGTCTCCCATTCCTCATCAATGAGGATCGATGTTCTTCAGAGATCGACTGCAGAACCATTCCTCATGCAGTATACCATTCCTCATGGTCACTTCAGAGTTCTTCAGAGATCGACTGCACCATCGCGCATGTCACTCAGTTCGTCTACTTCGTTCTAAGTCCTATCGCCAGCGACGTGCCACCTCGGCGGTGCCCTGGCGGCCCTCTTCACCTGCACCGGGCCTGCAGCTGCACCCACCAGCTGGCCGCCTCAGCACGACCAGCACGACCCGAACCGGCCTGCATCACCCCACCCCAACAGTTACGCCTCCGCTGTTCTTCGCTGTTCTTCGCGAAGGAAGGAAGGGCACGGATGCAGACCTCCATCTCCATCTCCTGCAAGCTCTTCATCGGATACGCAGAGCCTTTCGCCGGGCCCGCGGTAAGCGCCGCTCGTGAACCCTACGGTCTTGTCTCCTGTTGCTTCCCTGTCTACCTTTCTTGCTCGCGAGCACGTCATTCTTCCCAACCTCGGCTTGTGGTCCCGTGCTCCAATGGGTGTTTGTGAGTTTGTGCCGCACTTCTTTGCGCAAATCCCAGTACGTTGGTTGAAGGATGTTTAAGGGGATTCGCTTTTCTATTGCTTTTGGGACTGCTCATTATAAGGCTACAAGTAAATCTGTTCTTTGTAATTAGGCTTTGTTCCATCACGTGTCGTCAAGTTGTTGGACGCTTTGAAACCTATCAACCCAAAGGCCGTGGGTCACCGTCTCCTCGCGTCTCGGCCCCGTCTTCCGTCTCGCCGTCTTGGCCTCGGGGGTCTCGTGAAACAAGCGGCTGGGCCACGAGCAATGCTGTGAGCTACCTCAGATCTAATTGCTCAGTTGCCCACACAAACCTGCAGGCAGCCCACAACGTGACTGGTGGCCAATCTCACAAGACAAATACATCATCGTCCTCAAGCAAGCACGCACAGCAGTGATTCGATGGTGCAAGTGAAGCAAGGGTGGGGCTGACCGAGTGGAAGCATTGATCACATGATTACATCAGAACCCCACATCGAATCATGTCAGGTGTGAGCTTTGATTATGTTGGATTCCTCCCAAACCGGAATGGAACACCCGCGCCGGCACGCACGTCCAACGAGGC